AGGAAGGACATTGAATTGTTGGAAAGGGTTCAGAGAAAGGTTGCTAGAATGGTGCCTGGGATGGAGGGGTTGAAATCTCTCAACTTGTTTTCTCTTCAAAAAAGAAGTTAGGGAGGATCTGATTGAGGTGTTTAAGATTGTAAAGGGAATTGATAGCATTGATGTATCATCTTTTTTTCATATTTAACAATGAGAATAGTAGGACTAGGGGACACAAATATAAATTTTGGCAGAGTAAGAGTTATCTTTAACTAAGACAGTTTTATTTTTATAACAGGGTGGTTGACCTTTGGAATGGGTTGCCTTCAGATGTTGTAGAGGCAGTAAATTTAAGCGTGTTTAAGAAAAAGCTTAATAAATATGTGAATGAAAAGGGCTGGGTTTAACAATTTTTTTTAATCATTTTAATTTAGTTTTTAGGATGGAACAGCCGAGATGGACCAATAGGTCCCATGTTGTCCCAAAATATTATGTTATGTTGCGAAACTCTGCAAATATTTGATAAATATTATGTGTTGTACACAAAACATCAGAATTTCTTAAATAATTTATCTTTGCTAAAGACTTGTAAAAAAATTTCTGAAGCCTTTACTGACTTCATGAGTAAAAGGTAATTTTTCATACTAAGAATAAAACATCTTTTCATCTTACAGTTTTCATACTTCATTTGCATAATCTCTAAAACCTACTAAATGAATACCAAATCTTATTGCTAAAATTTATATTTTCTCTATCAAAACTCTTAACAGCATACTTGATTCTTGGATCTGTAGAGAAATTATCAATGTAAAGTTGAAAGAAAATGAGTACTACCAATCTTTTTGTCAAAAATGAATTTATTATTGATCAGAAAAGTGTATGAAATTTGATACATCAAGCTGGTTAGCTTGAGCTAGGGGAATTTTAGACATTTTACTTAAGTTTTTGTAGACTAAGCTGAAAAGTTTAATTTTAACATTTTATTTACTTTTGTTACAAAGTAATAAAACAACAACAAGGATTTGTTCACTGTGTACTTGAAGTTGGAACTCAAGTAGATATTCTTTCGTAACTTTTGTTGAGTCTGAAGTTTCAGTATTTAAACAACAATTTATGTATGCTTTCAAATATGCATTTTATACCACAAAGAACATATTGGGCACTAAAATAAAATGTCTCAAAACTATTATAACTTATTTGGCTTTCTACAGCAGCTGTAAATAGGCTGAAATTCCACTAACACAACAATGATTATCAAATGAAACATAACAGTGGATAATCCAAGCAGGAAAATTGAGAAGACCAGACCATAGACTCCCATAGAGGAGAATCTGCTCTTTCTATTGGTTATAAGCACGTCCATCAGTTGTGTAAATTCATTAATGAAACATTCTTTAAAGGCAGAGAGAGGGAGGGCTTCTCTGGTTGGTTCGACAAATTTATTTCAGCAAATCAAGAAGATAGGAGGTTCTTGCTTGCAATTATGTATAGTGTGTGCATGTATTTCTAGTTGTTAGAAAACTGTAGCAGCCTATTTTTGATGTTTGATGTCTGAAAGAAAAATAATGGACCTCATTGGCATCATGTGACTTAGAAAAATGAAGATTTAAATTTTACATATTTTTTTTAATTAACCCGTGAATGTAACATGAAAAGATCTTGACATGCACATTTTAACCTGACTGCTCTTAAGAGTTGATACCACATATGTTATACATATTAGTATAAATATATGCACTCACTTTACTTAAGGATTCAAAGGCCACCCAATGATTCAAAGAGACCCAAAATGCAAAGACTAAGCTCCTCCATTATTTCTTCTGAAACTACCCCAAAGAGGGATCCATACCTAGGGGAAAAAAGTTAGGTACCACCAGCTTAATGCCAGATTGGGGTTCAATGACTGAAAACTTGCACTTAGCCTTCCTCCTCTCCCATCATGCCTGGTTCATTTTCGGGGCATGTTTTAGTTTCTCTTGGTAGGAGGGTTGTACTATATAGATAACGGA